GCGACACGGCACTTTATCTACTTATATTTCTGATATATCCATGAGTTGCATATATTGAGCCCTAGACTGTACCACATAAAGGATGAGCCACTTTCACACACAGGATCTCACTGAATTTCCAATTACACTGGGAGGAGGGCACCCTTCTGTTAGAGAAGTTTGAGATCATAGAGAGAGGATGTGTCTCGGCCAAGTTTAAACAGAAGGTTCTAGCTCAAACTGCTTGATTCTTATCCATTCCATAGCAGGTTTGGGACTTGTGTCTCCTCAAATTTCAGTGCGAGGTTTCTGTCTAATAAGATCTTTCTTACGTGTGCTAAGCTTTTTGCTGATTTATGACAGGACTCAGCTGTTAGAGTAACAATAGTAGTTTAAGATGTGGTCCTTGGCAGACATCGGACATCTTTAATATCCCCAAGGACAGGAGAGAAATGTGCTCTCAATTACAGTTAAAGCTGGTCACTTGACATCTTTGTCTTATTGTTTATACCTTCCCTAGCACCATCGCATGTAGTACCAACACACAGTAGGTGCTCAGTAAATACCGGTTAGTATAATAGCTTTGACATGGGCTGTCATAGTGAATATTCACATGGTAACATTTAAACAAAAGGGTCAACTCTTGTGTCATTAAAGGCTTGTTTTGTTTTCCATGATCTGTCCAGGTGCTTACAGTGCACTTTTCTTAGCCTTGAATATGAAGTACCTGGGAAGGTAGGGCAGTCAGTTAATACATTCTTATGTAGTTCTAGTGAGCTATTGCTAATGACCTATAATTTATAGTGTTTTAATTACTTTCTAAAAGAATGAAGGAGAAAGACAGATACATTTACAAAGTAAAAATTAATACAAATAGCTCCAGATATAGTTCTAGCTGAGGGCTTTCTCCAGATGTCAGGAAATTTCCACTTGGTAAAGGTCTTCAGTTAAGAGGACAGAAGAGGTATGTGTAAGTAGCAGAGAAAAGCTATGAAAGGAAAGGAAAAAACAGAATTGGTAATGTAAGTATCTCAGTTATCTATGCTACTATGGATATACTAGTCTTCAATAGGGACAGAACTTTATTTTTTCCGTGGGTATAAATCAGGGAGCATTTTTCAGTATCTGGGAGGGAAAACAAAAAAGAGATTTTTATCAGTTTTTTCCTTGTTTTTGAATAAAGCTCACAGAGGTGACTGGAGAGTTTCCAATGTGGCAAACCTTTTGGAAAGCCTAGAGATACTATACAACTGGTTCACAACTTCACTTTTTTAACTCGCAGAGTTTCTGTTACCCAAGTTTTCCCTGATTCTCTCCATGTTTTACTGTCACCTTTATATCAACACGATATTTATGTATACTTTCTTTATGGCACTTGTCATTTTATAGTAATGATTTTTCACACAACTAATCCTATCCTTTCTCTTTGAAGGTAGTTTCTTTGTATCTCAAAAATCCAACAGAAGTTCTGGTAGATTCTCAATAAATCCTTTTTAATAGAAAGTTGGAGTGAATACTTATTTCATTATCAATATCTTACTAAACCAACATTCTTCAACCACTGGTATGTAGAATGGGTTCACAGGTTGTAGATAAAATCCACGGGATGTGTCAAAGATTGAGGAATCAAGCTTTCAAACTGGACACTGCCATTAGCACCTTCCAGTCTGAAGCAAGAGAGTGATTTCTTTGTATAAGACCAACTTCACTTAAAACTGAATAATTCACTTTGATTCTCCAATTCCTCAGTTTCTCATCTGCAAATTGGAAATAATAATAAAACCTGCTTTATATGGTGGCTGTAAAAATAAAATGTGATTTTCCATGACATGCTCAGCATAGTAGGCCACTAATAAGTGCTTGGTATAAACCTCATGTGTGTCTATGAAACAGTTTTATGCAAAATCAGTCATGGAGTTACAAAACTAAGGATTTTTCTCTTTTAATTTTGAAGAAATTCTCTTAAATTCAAAGAAAAAAATAAGTATAATAGCATCACAACCTAGCTGAAATGCCCACGTTCCACACAATTTCTCTTCAGTTTGATCCCACATTTCTCTCTTTAGTCTGCTTCCTCATTTCCTCTTTAGTTTGCTTCCATATTATCCTTTTCTGCTTGCTCTCACTTTGCACTGACCCAGCACATATCAACAACTATTTATTGTCACATTCCTACTCCAAATCCCATCTGGATGAGATAGGTACCTTGGACAATATTCACTATGGTTCTCCCTGTGAACCAGAGGGCAGTTATTTTAATATTCTCTATAGCTATTTCTTCTATTTTGGCTTGATTTAGAAATCTGGTTTTGAAGTTCACTGTGTGGTTGGATATGGCAGAGAAGATCCAGCCAAAGAAAAATGGATTCCAGTGGAATAAGTTACTAGACTCTTCTATCTAGTACTATATACCAACTTTGGTAATTCAGAGTGGTGGAGATAAATAAGACATAGATCACCCATCGCAGAGAACATACAAGACTATTATTCCCATTACTTGTATGAACTAGGAATCTAAGCCTCGGATTGGTTTTTTCAGGTGACAATTTTGCCCACTCCCATACTGTTTGGATGTTGGAAAATGATGAGATACTCATCAGGCCACTATAATTCTGGGTAACATTATTGGGTGTTTTGTTTCTTTGTTTGTTTTCTACAAAGCTATAGTTAAGGCCCAAGAAATTGTAGTTTTTAAAATTTTTGGGGGGGGAGTGAGATGGTAGTTTTTTATTCTCAAGAAAAAATTAAAAGCCCCTAATGCTTCTATGGGGCTGGAGTGATAGTACAGAGGGTCGGGCGCTTGCCTTGCACGCAGCCAACCCAGGACCGACCCCGGTTTGATTCCTCCGCCCCTCTCGGAAAGCCCAGCAAGCTACCGAGAGTATCCAGCCCGCTCAGCAAAGCCTGGCAAGCTACCATGATGTATTTGATATGCCAAAAAAAGTAACAACTCTCACAATGGAGACATTACTGGTGCCCGCTCGAGCAAATCGATGAACAATGGGAGGACAGTGCAGTGCTACAATGCCTCTAATTTAAAGGCTAAGAACCTCAGTTCACAAAGTTTCATTATGTGAGAGATTAATGAAAGCATAATCTCAAGAAGCGGTTGGTGAAGGAGGCAGTAGGAGTGTGTCTACTTGTTTTATTTTCATAAGCCTTAAACCTGAACTAATTTCTTAAGCTAATGTATATATTAAGGTTCTGGGTGGGGTGAGAGCAGGGAAGAGTAAAGGTTCCTTTCCTGCAAATTCAGCACAGAGCATCTTACTGATTTTTGTTAACTCAAAATGTCTGAATTTCACTGCTTCTAAATTCTAACAGTGGAGTTAGCCACTGAGAAATGAGTGATAAATAAAGAAGTATTTTATACTTACATTTCATTTTTTATATTACATTTTAGTTTATTATTTTCTTCTAGATATTTTATTTGCAAGTAAAATTTTATGCAGACACTCATTAACTTGGTAACATATCTAATTAAAGGATCAGAAGAGAAGACAGAATGATTCTCTAATCAAGGTTTTTAGGTGGAAGAAATTTGATGGCAGTAAAGGAAACCCAGGTAGTCTTTTTAAAGGAACATTATGAATCACTGGGGCTGGAGCGATAGCACAGCGGGTAGGGCTTTTGCCTTGCACTCAGCCAACATGACTGACCTGAGTTCGATTCCTCTGCCCCTCTCAGAGAGCCCGGCAAGCTACCGAGAATCTCACCCACACGGCAAAGTGTGGCAAGCTCCTCGTGACATATTCAATATGCCAAAAACAGTAACATCAAGTCTCACAATTTGTTGTGAGATGTTACTGGTGCTTGCTCGAGCAAATCGATGAACAACGGGAGGACAGTGCTACAGTGATGAATCACTGATAGAAAAGACAAAACAAAATCTACTAACCTAAACAGATAACTTATTTAATATAAACAAATGAAAAGTATCATATGGAGTTTCTAAAATGAAGAGATATTTAAGACATTCTTACAGATTTTAAATCTATGAAAGTAGATAATATATAGACATTAACAATAAGAACTTGGTAAAAAAAAAACAAAGCAAAACCATGCAATTAAATATAACTTTTGTCCCCAAGCACAAAAATTTGTAAGTCTACAACTGTACCTCATGGTGTTTCACTAATAAAAATTAAAAATAAAATAAAAATAAAAAGACAATAAAAATATATATAAATATAACTTTTGTCTCTTTTCAAGGAAATGTCTTACTTTCTCCTTTCACATAACAAAAGCAAAATTGGAATCTGGAGAGTTGATGACGTCCTGACAATTCTAGAAAGTGTTGCTCTGAGCAAATCCCTCTGTGCTGGGAAATAGGCCACAATGAAGTTAAAAGCAATCATTAAACAGAGAATAGAAAACCATTAAAAGACACAGTTACAGGGCAAGATAGCACAAGGGTTAAAGGGTGTATGTCTTTCATGTTGTGGTGAGAGGGCATTTGGAGGTACCAGGCCTCCTGAGCATTGTTTGGAAGATCCTTTTACACCCCAAGGGGCCTGCTGGTGAATGACTTGCTTAGTTCAATCAGGAAAATTGAACTCATTATTTATTTGGGTGCCTCACTTTATTCTGCATTGGTGGTGGGTGATCTTCTTTCCCTGGCATATCTTTCTGAGAAAAGGTTTTGAGGTCCATTCTTCCCACAGAAGACTAATGGGAATGGGGGAGAACTGAAAAGCTTTGACTTCCCTGTCCAGTCCCACGGTCCTAAACGGGAAGTTGTGTCCTGTAGTTTTTCAACCTTCTCCCCAATAGCCCATGGTGTGCACAGGTCTGACTCTTGGGGTCCCCCTTGGGCACACCCTGTGGGCTTCTCCATCCAGAGCACCACCTAGAGCAAGCCGGCAGGGCTTATAGAACCTATTCTCAGGCTCGCAGTGGAAAGGATACACTAAAGAGAGACCTTCCTGGTCATTCACAATGCCTTCCCGGGGAAGTTTTCATAAATAGAAAAGAATAAGAACAACTGGTTTTACAAAGAACAATCCTGGACTGACATTTACCTGTTTAAGCCACACATTGGTTGTCATGAGCTGATTCTTTTCATCCTAAAAAATTAAAATGAAAAACATATAAATTCCACAAAGTTGTGCTTGGCACTTTTTTCTCATCAGAAAGAACTTTTTTAGTCTGAGGCACTTGAAAGAATTCTCAATTTAAGAATCGTTAAATGCCATGGAATCCTGAAATAGGCATATTTTGTTTAAAATGAAAAATTAAAGCAAGTAGCAGTGATATTTATATATAGTTGCATAACTCAGAAGACATGACACCAGTCAAAGTAGGGCAGAAGATGGGTTCACTGGAGATGGACTTTGCATGAGGTAGTTGGTGTGAGGGGTAGAGGAATAGGAGATTGGAGTGGAGTGGGAGATTAGGAAGAATGGAAGGATTGTTTGGGAACTTGAGACCACAGCAGGATAATTTTGCAGCATTTGAGTTGGTAAAGTCTTCAGACTTCTTTTCCAGGAATATAGTCATGCAGGATGTGTAAGCCTATAAGGAAAACTAGCAGAGTCAGCTATGGTCTGGGTGAGTTAGAAAAGGTGCGGGGTCTGTGGACAAGAGGGTGTTGGGTCAGTCAGGCCAGAGGCGGGCATGCCATCATCACCTCTCCTTCCTTCTTGCATGGGTTCTGACAGCCTGGACAGCCTGAGACAGCAGAGCAACTCTTCTCAGCCCCCATTCCCCACTGCTCACAGGGGAGTGAGGGGGTCATCCTGGCATCTCAGCGACCCCAGCTTAAAGGCCCCATACTAATACTTGTGCCAGTGACAGTTTTCTTCCCAACACTTCTTTTCCTGTTCTCAGTGATTTCACTGTCTTCATGGTTCAGGTTTTTATCTCACAGTGATTTGTTTTTTTAAATGAAAAATGCAGACATAGCAAAATCTTATACATGTTAAGGAATGTTACTGGTTAAGGAATGAATATTCCTTTGAGCAGCATGCCAGGGACCACTTACCACATCTACCAACTGAGATATTTTCAGTCCAAAATATACTTTTATGGTATCATTCGAATTTAATACTGGGCGGACCCATTTCTGATACCCTTGGAATAAATGTCTGAGGAGGGCATCTTCATTTTCAGCCATTGAATGAAGTCTTGCAGTGGCTGTGAAAATCACAAGTGAATTAATGAGACAGCGTAAGTGGGTCACAGCCACTAACTTAGACCTTTCTATATCTCTAACCAACTTAGTTAGCAAAGACTACCTTGTGTGCACAGATGCCCGCTTCAACTATTCTCCAGCCCACCCCCGTTTTTCCTGTAAACAACTTCTGCACTGAATACTGTACCATGGAAAACTGCCCCCCACCCCCCCAATGAGACACAATGAACAATGATGGAAGTAAGATATAACACAACTTTACACAGTCAAAGTCCGTGGCTGGTAGGAAGAAAGGCAAGAGTCTCACTCCCATCTGTCCAGGGGACCTTTGCTTTCCCATGGGAGCAGAACTCTAAGCTGCTCCCACAGCACAATGGATATAGATGGAGGGATCCCTTCCCCCAGAAGACATATTAAAGAGCAAAGCAGTGCCAGGGCATAGGCCTAGACTTGAGTTGTTTATTTCCCAGAGCTCGCTGTCCCCTAACTCGGATGCTTCAGCTCTTCTTAGCAAACAGCAGATGAGCTGGGTGGCTGCCAGGGCAGCACTCTGTTAGGATCCTTAAACCCTTAAATGGAAATGGAGGAAGCAGGAGGGAAATGAAATTTCCTAAACCTTTTGAGGAAAGACATGTCGGCCTGTTCAGGCTGAACTTGATCTTTCCCTCCCCAGTCCAGGTGTTACTTGCTTTCCCCAGAAGACATGTCCCTCAGAAGACATGTCCTGACTGAATGCCTCGCACCATCTCAGCACAGACCTGATCTCTCTGACATCACAGTCGCTCCTGCCCCCTTTCAGCCCTTCCTACCCAGCACCCAGAGCCATTTCTTAACAGCTGAAGAAACTGGCAGTACCCAGATCAGACACTCCAAATGGCTTCCTGTCAAATTCAGAAAACGTATCCAAACTCTTACCATGTTCCCCAGACCCACACCTCCCTCTCTGCCCATGCCCCAGGGTCTAAGGCCTTTCTTTCCAGAAATACCAGAGGCCTTCAAACCTGGAAGGCTGTTCTCCTGAGAGATTTATAGATATTTCCTTCACTATCTCCATCTTTGTTCCATATCTTCCCTTGAAGAGGCTATTACAAATCCCTTCCCATGGATAGTGCTTCCTCTTCCATATTATATTGTGATCATTATATTACATATTACATGTACACATATAATCATATTATATGCTGATTTGTGTACTGTCTCTCCTCCCAACTGGAAATTTCCCTGCCCAGGAGGCAGGGACCCTGCCTTCATCCATGTCACCACAGATCCAAGGCTGAGGGATGTTTTGAGAGCTTGACCAGATCTCGCCCGCAGAGAGAAGCAGTGGGAGAAGCATGCTGAAAGTAGACTATAGACCAAACATGATTGCCACTCAATGCCTCTTTTGCAAACCATGACACCCAAAAGGAGAGAGAGAACAAAGGGGAATGCCCTGCCACAGAGGCAGGGAAGGATGGGGGGTGGGAGGGATACTGGGATCCATGGTGGTGGGAAATGGGCACTGGTGGAGGGATGGGTATTTGATCATTGTATAATTGAAACCCAAGCACAAAATTTGTAAGTCTACAACTGTATCTCATTGTGTCTCACTAATAAAAATTTTTTTAAAAAGGGGAGAGAAGCAGTAGGTCTACAGTGACACTCTTTAGGCCTCTTCTGAGTCAGTACTTGATTTTCTCTTGTGGAAATACTGTGGAGGACCTCTAGATCTCTACTCAACAACCACTTGCCCCTTCCTCCTTGGTAACAAATACTACATTTATTCAGTTGTTGCATCTTAAAAATATTCCACTGCAAGGGCTGGAGCTATAGCACAGCGGGTAGGGCGTTTGCCTTGCATGTGGCCGACCTGGGTTTGATTCCCATGATCCCACATGGTCCCCCGAGAACTAGCAGGAATAATTCCTGAGCGCATGAGCCAGGAGTAACCCCGTGCATCGCCGTGTGTGACCCAAAAAGCAAAAAAAAAATTTCAATGCAGGACCCTCTCAGCTGGAGATGACATTATGACGTCCATGACCAACCAAAACAAACTCAGGCCAGAGGAAAGTTTTCTAGGAACAATTATCAGGGAACAAAGACAGACTCAGCTTCACATGCCCTTCATGCTCTGTCCCCACTTCCTGCTGCAGAAGTTTGAAAGAGATTTTCTAAAGTTCTGACCTCGATGACTCTCGGCATTTGCCATCCACAGAGCTCTCTCCGCTGTGAGAATAGCTGGGTCCGAGGGAGAGACCAGTGTCAACCCGTGTCATCAATGCCAGAGAACTGCAGCTGTCTAAATGGAGGAAGAGAAAGCCCACTGCACTGCAGAGGGAACTAGTGTTTCTCAGATTCTCATGTGGAAACCCTAAATCCCACCATGGCTGTTTAGGACAGAGCTGGTATGTGCACAATTCGGGGCAATTGGTTTGTCTTTGTACAGTGGAATGTTACCAGGAAGGGCATTGCTTCTTCAAAGCCATGGCCTCAATAAATATTTGATGCTATTTGTTGAACAAATGTTATTAATGGTTCTTAGGTCAATGGACAGGCAGAAACCAAGCTCCTTACCACAGAAGACATACTCAGTGGTGTGTTTGTGATATCCAGAACAGGGGGTCTGCTCTCTGGGGGAGGAGGGGCCTTCCAAACAGTGCCAAGGAAACTCTAGGGTGCCAGGGACCATCAGGCCATACCCAGGGCCACTCAAAGGTCTCAAGGGCCACGCTTCAGGGTAGTATTCATGGGACTCTGGTCCTGGGGATCAAAATGGGGTCTCATGCATGCAATGTATGAGCTTTTGTCTCCCATGCCACCTCCCCAGCCCCACAGGGTTTAAAGGAATACATGAGTTCTTTAACAGCAGTCTGTCAGAGTTTTGCTAGCTGGCTTTTATTTTGTGTTAGACAATACCAATATTCTACCATAGTCTAACAGTCAACATTCTAACAGTCAAGAAATTACCCCAAAGATGAGCTCAGTCAGATAGAGAAGAGAGTACCAAATGAAGGGTGTTGTGAGGGTCCTCCCAGGGTGGGAGAAGCATGCTAAAAGTAGTCGATAGACCAAACATGATTGCCACTCAAAGCCTCTCTTGCAAAACACAGTACCCAAAAGAAGAGAGAGAGAACAAGGGGGAATGCCCTGCCACAGAGGCAGGATGGGACGGGGGGGGGGGTGAGGGTGGGGGGGGATGCTGGGACCCATGGGGATGGATGACGGGCACTGGTGGAGGGATGGGCACTTGATCATTGTATAACTGAAACCCAAGCACAAAATTTGTAAGCCTATAACTGTACCTCATGGTTTTTCACTAATAAAAAAAGAAAAAAAAATACTAAATAGCTATTAAAAAAAAAAAGATGAGCTCAGAATCAGCTTCCTTCGACATTAGGGGTGAGGGCTGGGAAACGGGTTAGAAAGCAGGTGCATGTGCAGGTCACTTCAGCACTGGCCTACAGGAATAGTGCAGTAACTTAGAGCATCTGCCTTACAAGTGTAGCCTGAAATTCAAATCTGTGATGTCACCACATGCGCAAAAACAATCCTGGCAGCACCATAGTATGTCATCCTGGGTGCTTCAAAAGATTTCTGGTCATACCACAGAGCTGCATGTGTGCACAGCAATAAACAGATCCGGTGGAAGCACCACAGCCATAAATTGCCATCTCTAGGAGCACCATACCATCACTCGTGCCCCTCAAGGAGTGGGGCCCACTCTGAGCATGCAGGTACTAAACCACGAAAGTTCCAGGATACAGACAGAGAACTCTGGGGTCCTCTTGGATTGGGGCCAGGCAGTCTGTCCCAACCTTCCCAGACCTCTGGAAGCCCTGGCAGTCATGCCCACCTCCCACAACCAATACCTTGTCAACTCATGGCACAGCTCAAGAGATCTTGAAGTTCTCCAGGTGCCACAATACGGATACTCCAGTAGGAGCACATTTAATTTGATGGGAAAGTGGAAGCCCATGAAACTCAACAAACAAAAACAAGAGCACAGAAGGGTCAGCTGACAACAAATAGACCAGTTAAACATCAGATAAGGATTTAATGACTTCATGGTGACATAGAACTTTTTTTCACAAATTTTTCTTTTACTTATTTTTGTTAATTCTGTTAGTCATTTGGTTGTAACAAGTTAGCAATATTAAATAAATCATTGTGTGCCTGCTGAGGGGGCAGGCTGGGGGAAGTGGTTAAGAAAATGGGGAGGGAAGGTCACTGCGTTGGTGGGATTGTGCTTGGAAAGCTTCATTATGGACAACTTTGAAAACTATGGTGTCTAAATTAAAAAATTTTTAATTATTGCAGCCTCAGTTAAAGAAGGAAAAATTAAATGGCAAAGCAGCAAAGATAAAACAGGAAAGAATTTTTTTGACCGTCTCAGCCGCCCCCCCCCCCCCCCCCCCATTCACTGGTTCTGAAAATGAGGACCAGGTGGGCTGCGGATTCTTGGCTGTGACTCTTTCACCAGACCACGAGTCTTCTAAAATTCCAGGGGCAAAAAGACTGTGCCCCCCCCCTCAAATGGACTTTGTTCACTGCTAGTTCGTGATGGTGCTGTTGTTCATGCTATGTTCTTCACAAGATTTGAATGCTGCTTAGAGCAGTCAGTTTTCTGGGAGGGTGACCTATAAAAGCAAGTCACTAATAGTTTTTATGTGTCTCAGGGAGGTGCTACTGCTCTCAGTGTCTGTAATCCCACAGCATCTCCTTTGGTAGCACCTGGACTGCTGTGCTCTGTGGCCTCTTTGATGGTCCCTGTGGGGGGCCACTGTCCTGGAGGTGAGCACTTAAAGAAGTACTCACGCTTTACAGTAAGACAGCTTCAGACCTGACCATGGCCTCCCCTCATTTTCTGGGCCTTTTCTGCTCTGTGTCCCCAACTATCCTGCAGCAGGATGGGTGCTGGCTATTGAAGCTTCCCACCATCTCTTTTGATAAAGAACTTCTATTTCTCCCCCAGCCCCCCCTCCTGCCCTTTCTTCTCTCCCTTTCCCCAACTAATCTGGGGCTCAGATTTTTGTTAAGAGATTTTCACTAGGCTGAAAGAAGCACTACTGAAATCAGAGGGCAAAAGGGAGAACTTGAGGGCACCATCCAGTTTCAGATTGACAAGTTTCGGCGCTCTGCCTCCTGATCCCCGTAACTTTCCCCACTGGGGAAATCAGGCTGAACAGGAAAGGGCTCTAGGCAACCATACTGTTGCTGACTCAGGAATCTGGGTTCTTCACTAAACATATCATTTATTAGAAAGACTCCAATGTTTATTTGACATTGAGTCACTGGGTCACATATTCAGAGATGTAAGTGACATCCTGATGCCAAATCATGTGTTCACAAGCAAGATATTTAACCTTTCCTAAAGAAGACAGGAGTAAACAACTACCAAGGATCCTTAAAATTCACACATTTTGTGCTTGTAAGGAGCTTTTATTATTATTAGTTTAGGTTTTGGGTAATACCTGATGGTGCTCAAGGGTCAGTCCTGGCTCTATGCTCAGATGATCATCTGTGGTATTGGGGACTGAACTGGCATTTGCCACATATAAAGCAAGCACCTTAACTTGCACTATCTCTCTGGCTCCTAAGGATTTTTCTGTCCATGAATCAGTCACAAAGTGTGACATTAACACCAAGCATCTGCTCTTCCAAAGGAAATAGATAACCAAGAATGTGTATTCTATTGAGGAGCATTTCCTCACTCAGTATCTTGTTTCTTGTGTAACAAGAAACTTCTTTTGGGAGTTGTAATAAAACCTCCCAGTAACTAAAGCTACCACTGATTGAATCCAATCAATCCCTTTATAGGAACACTTCCTTTTGGATTATAGTGGTTTATACCTACTTGTCACAGACTTTTGACAAATTCATACTGAGATACAAAAAGCTGTTAAGACTAAGTAAAATGAAACATCTCATGATTATTCATGATTTCCCTGAAAACACCATTGTTTTTTATCAGCAAGGAGAGGAGAGTAACAATGAAATTATTTTAAACCTCGACAAATCTTCTTGGGAGGGATATAGTTTTTATTTTTGATATCTGTTGACATATTTTTGGTGTTGACTTCCATTACCATGACCTTGTCAGGAAAAAAAACCCCACCAAAATGAACAAACAAATAAAATACCATGAATAGGCTAGCATCTGCTCTCAACACCTTTCAAATAAAATATTTAGTGAATTTATGATAGAATGAGTTTTTAGCATTTAATTTCACTTTGTTTTATTCTCTTATCCTAGAACCACTCGTAGGATACTATAGATCCTTAATAAATATTTACTAAATTTACACATCAGGAGGGGCAAGAAGATGAATACTACTCTATAACACTGCCCGAGAACAGACAACACAGAAAGATTGTGCAGATATGCCTGTTACCCTGTTGAGCAAAGCCTCAGAAAAAACATATTTTTGAAGGTGCAGTTTTCTGTAACAAGAAACTTCTTTTGGGAGTTGGAAAATTATAGAACTTTGAGAGAAGTTACAGAAATAGAAATAGACACTGATGGATCTAGAAGTCTTTACAAGTGAGAGTCACTAGAGCTTTCAGCCTTCCTATTTTATATCTCCTAACTCATGTAGCCCAAATGAGGACCAGCAGCTGTCTCAGGATCCCATCGCTGAACACAGAGAGGCTTTAGAGTGATACCAAAAGGTTTATGCTAACTCCCCCAGCAAACCAGAGACATTTCTCTGGGGGAAAGAATGGTACACAGTTTCTTCCATTGTAAAGAGGAGAAATTCTTTCATCACAAATAGTAAATGAGGGCAGAAAAATTAGACACATAATTGCATGCTAAAATATATAGGTGCTGATTATTATTTTAATGATTGGCAAATGGCATTTAAGAATTGACACAGACCATATTTAGTGATATTGATGTTAGTGGCACAAATAATTAATTATTTTGAGTTTCTGGTATGAGCAAAGTGTTTTTTAATGACATAATGTTCGGGCTGCATGTTTCAAGACCCTATGACTTGAATTTGGACTTATTTCTGACTTGGATGTATCAACCTAAGCATCTCAGACTCTCTACTAAAAATTGCAAAATTATATTGGTAAAAACAGAAGCTCAACAAGGAGCACAGATTCTTACTAGAACAAAATTGCTTTTCACTGTCTGACTCCTGGATCCCCGTGGTTTCTGGTACAATAACAGACTTTCTATTCTCAAGTGACAGAACTACAAATGACTGCAAAGCTAGAATATTGTCAGGTGAAAATCACATTTTCTCCCAACTTCTCAGTAATTTTCTCTGTTTCCTCTGTATCCTCTTTTTTCTCCCTCCCCCCCTCCCCTGTCCATTTCCCCTCTCCTTTTTTTGCCTTCCTTTGGAGAAAAAAAATCTTCCTTCAATTGGATAATAATCACAGAAAACATTCACAAACATTTGATATTTATATTATATAATATATGTTTGCTGTACTATATAAACACATTAAATTTACCTATACACACATTTCCGTATTGATAGAGGTATGTGGGGTATGCTGGACAATATTAAGTATCTACACAGATAATTATTAGTAAATAGGATAAAAAATGGTATGTTTCTTTGACAAATATTATGACAATTCTGAGAGATGGTGCATTCAGTAACAACTTTTCCTGATTTCACATCCTCCTACAAACGAATAAAACAATGAAGGGCAAAAGCACAAACATTGTGGAATTCAGAGATGTTTTCTTTAGCAACTAGTAGTTTTCAGAGTGAGATGAGAGCCACACATGAAAGGCTATATACAAAGATGCCTGTCTTTAACACACGTAATTCTATAATGGTACCAACACACAGTTCCCCACCCCCACCCAACCCCACAGCTTAGATAATTCTACAAGTAAAAAGTTTTGCTTAGTTTAACTTGATCATACCTGCTGGAGTGGTACAAAGGGCGATGAATATCAAAATAAAATCTGCCCTCATCATGTCAGCTTCAGCTGGGGAAGCCCTTGATACAGCAGACTATTTCCTTCAGAAAGGGGTTTCGAAGACAAAACGCAGTGGACAGAGTTCAGGTGGATGCCCCGGAAAAGCGAACACGTGAGATAAGGATGTCTCAAGCCCTCTCCAGTGGATTCTGTGATTCTGTTTGAAAGAACACTTCATTGATTTCCAGCCTCCAGTGCCTTCTGAAATGCTCTCTGGGTCCTAAATCCTGACTGGTTCATTTACTCTCCTACGGGAAAGAGCAGACAGGCAGTAGGGGAGAGGAAGCGAGACTGTGATGTTTCTCTGATGGTTGGAGGAAAACTATCTCGTGGAAGTTAGTGAAAGTTTTCATGCACATTTTTCCTCTTATCTTCTCTTTGGGGCCCGGTTTCTTTGTCTTGTGTCCTCAGGCTTTGCGGTGTCAGAGCACCCTTTGTGCTCTCGAATGACTTCAAATACTCCTGTACTTCACAAAGAGGGACTTTTGTGTGGCTCTGCTCTGCCGAGGGGGCTTGGAGGCTGCAAGCTCTCCTTTGTTTCTTTATTTTATTCGTAGCTGATGGGATTCGTGTCTAGTTTGTGCTGCCCACACTCAGGTGGAGAACCCAGGTCCAATGAGTGCTCAGTAGATGCTGGGGCTAGGAGGGCAGAGTGGGAAGGAGACGGAAGGCTGGAGCGACAGGATGAACTCATTTCGGAAGACCATGTCCAATTTTCAATTCCACGGAGGGAAATTAAGCCCCAACAGTGTGCACCAACAACTTTCAGGCCCAATTACTGCTTGGTAAGTGCCAACAAGCCCAAGAGGAACTCTCCTCGATGCTCCTAGCTCTGAAGTCAGTTCCATGCCCATGTTTACAGGCTACTTACCCTGTCACATACTACACACAAGTTCCTGAGGGTGTGAAATACATCTCATCCCAGCGACTCTTGTACCTATCTTGTAATTTAAGAATGTTACTTGATGCAGAAATGCTTCCTACCCCTCAACCAGGCTGAGTCACCCAGAGGGGGTGGGTGAGCCCACCACCCACCACCCACCCAAACAGAGCCCCAGCAGCTAAAAATCTCCACACTCCACAATCACCACCATGCTCAGGGCCGGACTGCTCTGCTTCTGAACGTCCTGGACCAGAGATTGATCTATTGAAAAACTCAGGTATGTGGAAGTTGTGACTGAAATTTCCAGGCTCTCACTGAGTCAGAGATGAGCTACCTTCCCCCATCCCGCCCGCACCCCAACCTTGTTCTTCCAAAAGCTTGGCACTCATGTCCATGAACTGCCTTTGAGGCCAAATAAGCTCATTAACTAGCCATGATCCAGAGACTCATAAATCAACAAGCTACAGAGATGCTTCCAACCTCAAAGTTATCATCCAGTTAAAAATTTAACTCCAACTGTATCACCCCATTCAAAACATTTGAACTCCTGGAGTGTGGCTGCATTCACAGCCACCTGATATCTGAAACTTTACACTACTGAAAAACCTGGAGTAGTACACCACATTGGATGGGATATAAATTAGAAGGCAACCAATTTGATTAAGAAAATATAAACACACAAGGCTTAACCTGTAACAACATGTTAGTAATCTCTTCTACAAGGGCTTAATGGCTCCATGGTGAAATACAACAATATCCACACCCTTTCTTCTAAGGAAATATTTTTGATCATTTTTTTTTGCGAATTATAACAAGCAGTATAAAATAAATTATTGAAGGCTTGCTATAGGAGCAGGCTTAAAGGATGGTTGGGAAAATTGGAAATAATAGTTATGGGAATGTCCAATGGTGGTGGGATTGGTGTTGGAATATTGAATGTAATAAATTATGAACAACTTTAAAATAAAGAATTTTACTTGAGGGGCTAGAGAAATAGTACAAGGGTTAAAGTGCTTGCCTTGCTAGTGGCTCATTCCTGTTCTATCTCCAGCACCACATATGGTCCCCTAAACACAACCAGAAATGATCCCTGAGATCAGAGCCAAGAGTCACCTCTAAACACTGCCAAGTGGGGTCCAAAACCCTTCCCTCCCCCCAAATGTTGCTTAAATAATCCTTTAAAAAATGTGGGCTGGAGAGAGACGGTATGTGGTTGACCTGAGTTCAGTCTTCAGCACCCAATGTGCTCTCCTGAGCCCCACTCAGAGTGAGTCCTAAGCACAGAACCAACTGGAGAAAGTCCTGAGCACAGACAGTTGTGACCCCAAAACAAACAAAATAAGGCAATGCCACAGTGGCAAAAAGCCCTTGCCACACAGCCTTGCCAGTATGAAGACGTGAAGATCGCCCCTCAATACTCACATAGAATCAAACACCGGAAACAATTGTAAAAAGAATCGTCTTAGTTTTCATGATGCTGCTAGTACCTTCTTTAAAGAAAGGGGTTTTCTTAATGGAAGTACCTTCTATAGCCTTACAAAACCTAAGTGTCTCCGGGTTCTGTCAGAGCTTGGAGAGGCAAAGCTGAGGGTGCATAGCACAATTACTGCACCCAGTGCTCCTGGTCTCAAAACCTCAATATTGCTAATGGCAGTGCATTAGGTGTTAGACGAAGATGTTGGGGAAACAGTCACATGAGTCAGAGTTGAAATAATAATAATAATTTCCTGGAAGAAGAGGTATAAAAACCAAGACTAGAAGTATGAGTAATATTCAGGGACACAGAAGATGAGGTACAGGGGACAGGGTGATAGCACAAGAATGGGGGCACATGCTTGCATACAGGAATCCCTGAGTTCAGTCTCTAGCACCACAAGGTCCCACCTTACCTCCAGACCCCCAGCACCACCTGGTGTGGCCTTGTGGTACTTTGAACACCAAACTATTGGCCCACGATGTCAGACTAAGTAATCTCACTAAGGACTACTGGTGACCCCTCCAAAAGAGGTATATGGGAGCAACCTCAAGGAAGCGTGGGGGAGTTAGTGCTAGAAGGAGTTACTCAAGGCGAAGGGCTGACCATCCACTTGCCTGCGTGTGTGATCCCTCCCCGGAGTCTTCCACTTTTAAGCAGTGGTATTTGACTGAATCATGAGAGCTATAAAATATTGCTGGCACTTTGAATTGTATGGAGCATTGTTATAACCAACAGGAGTACATAATATTTGTGGGGGTAGGAGAGAGAGATTGAATTCCTCTACTTATTCAATAAAATTTCCCTCAAAAATCATTCTATGCCCATTTGGAAGAAGGCAGTATTTAATTGCCATGAGGAATTTTATTATCTGGGGAAGATGTAGTATTTATCTCAGTTCTTGACTTTGCAGCTTGAGAGGCTGAAGTACAATGGGATGGACAGAATTCAGTCTATCTCTGTGTCCCCAGTCAAATTTTAAATTACTGATGAGTAGGATTTGACCTTGGATGCCCTTTACTCAGCAGATTAGAGACATTTGGGAAACAAAGGGATACTAGAGACAGATTAGAAAAATAAGAAACACATTATTTTGTACTTTTTAATGAAATATCATTTTTGAAATGCTTAAGAATTATTTTTAAGGTCAGTCTTCTCACACTGGTGACCCAGCTTGGGAAATGAGGGTGGCTTATGGAGTGGAAGGCTCCTTCCTTCCATACTCTCAGACACACATGCCAGCATTCCTTGTGTCAAGGGAATAGAACCTGAGAGTTTCATGCTACTCAGCACCTGCACCACCCCTCAGGGTCCTATTCTCATAGAGTAGTGACACACCCCCAACACACACACACACACACACTTACTTGGAAATAGGTCTATCAATGTTTAGTTCACAGACTTGAGAGACAAGTTACATGGTTGTAGACGTCGACGTCTGGCAGTTATTAGTTGTATGGCTGTAGGCAAATTATTTAATATCTTCCCGCTTCATTTCCTGTAAAATGAAAATGATAGCACCCTGCCTTATAGTTGACTCTCTGCCCCAGGGTCACTAAATAATCATGTACCTGACTGCATCTTCATCTCTCAAAAATTCTTTTATTACACCTAAAACTATCAAACCCACAACAAAACCAATCCAAGCTGAAGCCTTATGGTGACTTTTCTTTCTCAGTATCACTGATGCTCAGGTAGTGGATTTGGCCACCACTGAGGGCCATGCCCTTAAGAGCTATGCCATCGCCCTACTGATGCCTGGTATTTTCTAACCATAGCTCTTAATACTCTGAATTTTTTCTGCGGCCACTCTCATCCCATTTCTCAAGCATTAAGTTTACTTTCCCATTTAGTAAATAAAAATGTAACCAAATGCCTTTTTATGTTTCATCATCCTTCCTATGCTTCTTTCAATTCCTTCCAGCTTGAGAAGACTCTCCTAGTCCCAATTTCCATTTTGTCCCAGCCTAGACTCTGTAATAAATTGCTCAAACTATCCCTGCCTACATCCAATCCTTAAATTCATTCTGTACATATCTTTCTGTTTTAAGTCTCAGTTTTCTGAAAGAAAAGAATATTTTAATCCTTAATTTGTTTCTTGGACATTTTTTCCTCTGAAGTTTAAAGAAGCAATTAATTGTTCCACTAGACATTGTACATTATTGGAGGTTACATTAATTTGTATTTTCACTTCATACCACATTTGAAATAAAACTTTCAAATGAATCTTTGAAATAAAGCTATTTCAGATTCAACTGGCTCATTAAAACATATTACAACAAACTTAGAAATGTAATTCCTACTATCTCTTCTCTTAAAAAAAATAAAAGCACAGCTTCAGCTAAACACTAGATAAATGGTAAAATATTACAAATGAAATTTAATCTTTAAACCTACTTAACTACAGTACTATCCAAAAGCAAAACTGTGGAAATTGTGGCTGGCACTCAGATTTTAAATATAATCTGTGAGAACATAGAAATATTGGGAATTAAAAGTTGGAAGAGGGCATTTTCTAATGTAAAATTCTTTTGTTTTTAAAGTCAGGCTTCACTTTATTTATTTTATCCATGGCATAACAAACTCTCTGAAGGTTTATTTAAAATACAACAAGTTACAGAGTCTGAATTTATTTTTAACAAGATTAAGAAGCATTTAACTTTAGTATATTAACCCGACTATATTTAACTATTTCTTCATGTGTATAAGTGAAATAATGACAACATAGG